AATGCAAAAAAAAATCACTAAGTACATAAAGAGACCTGAGATTATGCCAGCTTGTGGATCCAATGGATCAAGATTTTGATTTTGATTTTATTTTTCTTAAACTGCTGCTTTACTACAAAGAAATTGTGTTTGCAATAATATTTCTAGAGATTTGGTGAAAAGTGTTTGTCTAGATCTTTCAATACATTTAACATGATTAATAACCAATCCCTAAATGTAATCAAGAAAGCTAGTGTCCACTTCCCAAATGGAAAGAATAATAACAAATCCAACTCCCTACTTTGATCCTGGTTTCTTAAAGTATCAAATAAATATTAAACCATCATCATTTTCTTAATCGAATTCTTGTACCGTAATTAATTTTGTATTAACTAATAAAAATGGAATGAAAAGAAAATAGAAAAAAATCACAAGAAACAACACAACAAAGGGTGTTATGTGCCAGATAATACAATCAATGCTAGATCACAAGTTCTATTAGACCAATAATTAGCCACATTTCCCAACCTCCATGAATAGGGTCGTAGTACTATATACAAATCCTTTTTTTTTTTTAATGGTCTGGTCAATGGTCACAGACAATTGTTGGGCCGTTGAAACCCAGACTCAGTCCCTCCTGCATGACTACAATCTGCTATTGCTGGTTTATTCCGGTACGTTAGCTTCACGTCTTGAATTCGAATTCCGGTACACGGTTTCTTCGAGCTACAATCAAATTTCACCCCGATTTCTGTCGCCGATGTCCCGTGTATATCGAAGAACATTACATCACTAATTTTTATCCCTGAAACCTACAATCATAATAATCCAATAAATAACAGAACTATGAATAGTTTATATGTGATGTTTTAAATTCATTTAAAACAAAATAAATGTGAACCTGGTTAGGGCAATTTTCGTTGCCAGGACAGTAGTTCTGGTCAATGACGATTGGGTTTTGTACGTTGTTCATAACACAATGTTGAAAACGGATATTCTTAGCGAATCCATTACTGGGCCTGGCCCATGACTTTATTCTCACCCCATTCTCTGTTCCTGTAAACGTCGCCGTTTTCACTGTTACATTCTGAACTCCTGCCTCCACACTTTCTTTTCCTAAGCTCCCAATGCTGTTTTAACCAATTACCACAAATTAGATATGTTTGATACAGATAAATATAAACTGAATCAAAAAAGAATTAAACAAATTTAATAAGTTTAAAAAGCTTATAACTAATCCAACATAACATAAATTCCATAAACTGTGAAGAAATTCATGGAACTATAAATCAATCTAATGAAT